GTAAAAACATCCTGAGAAAACCTACATTTTTTATAGGATAGGGTGACAAACGAATACACAGTCCACCTGATGGTAAGTGGTTGCGGTGACCCATAGACATCTACATTTATCCTCAATAAAGAATCAAAATGCAGATGCGTTGTCACCCGTGAGGACTAACATGGAAGTTCAGTAACTTAGTTAATATTTCAGTTAAAATATTTTAACTGAAATATTAACTAAGCTAATAACCACAACATAAAAATTAAGTTATTTCAAATTTTCGGCAGAAAAATATAATTTAACAGAAAATTTATCCTTAGTAAATAAAAAATATTCCTCTACTATCTCTACTTCTTTTCTACCTACACTTTTTTATAAATTTTTACTTTATTTTAGTACCGTAAATGCTAATAAGTACGGTAATTCCGAAACTAAATAAAGCGTTAATATTATGAGATATTAATTATTATCAAATTGCATCACGTATTCGTTCAAAACAGCATAATCAAAATAACGAAGACTTACGCAAGAAGCGGTTGGTAGTGCAAATGCAATAAAAAGTCAGACATGTCCGATTCTCGTGCCCAATCGTATACTTTATATTAAATAACGTTTTAATCTTCGCCAAACTGACTTTTATAATAGTAGTATCTTACAAAATCTAAAACTGAAACACGTATGGTAAAAGAATCCATCACATAACCAAACTCCAGAAAAATTTTAGGGTTTCGAATATATTATATTAAGCCGTCAAAAACATAACTTGTAAAAAAACCAAGTCTCGCAACTTCTACCGTAAAAAGTTGTGAGATCCATGAAATACCAAGTCGGTTCATTTATTCAGTCCCTACTTAAGGGTCCTTCTGTCTTAAGTTATTACGTAATTAGCTAACCTAACAACATCTTATAGTGACCATATCAATATTAAAAATCTTTTATGTCTTAAATAAATAGATTATCTTGGCCATCGCATGAAAACACAATTTATCTCACAAGTAATACATATTATATTAAGTTAGCTTGTTTAGTCCGATTGCCAAGTCAATCTATTTATTTAAAACATAAAAGACTTTTAATATTGATATGGTCACTACTTACCTTGGTTTTTTTACAAGTTATGTTTTTGACGGCATCTCATTTCTTTTTGTCGATAGTTATATCTAGGTGTCTATCTGCACCTATTATTCTATTATGTTATACATATACAGGTACACTGATTTATTCACTGCAAATGTAACTTTATAATTCTATATATTTATATGGAATTACAAAGTTAATTATGCAGTTGATGTATCTAGAAAACTGGACCAAAATTGCAAAATATTTTAGTTTTTCCTTGATTTTTACACTAAATACTTTTTGTGTTCTAAATTTGAAGCTTCTATGTCTGCTAGAAGTGCCTTAGAATTTTTATGATCGGTCAGTCAGTGAGTGACAATTGACAAAATTAAGAAACTTTGACTAGTTATAATTCTTAAACTACTGGTTCAAATTGAATGAAATTTAAAATATACCGTGTTTATACAATGCCTGTTTGGTTACAAATTTAGTTACAAAATTCAGGCTTCTAGTTTTATCCACAACGAAGTTATAGGGGGTCGAAAATGGCCTGAACTGCTTCGAGAAAAGGATGGTACGGCCATGCCGTTTTTTTTGCTCGACTTGGCGGGGGCACTGCCGTGCCCCCAGAAAATGTTACCAGACGCGCCATTAAAACGTCAGAAGTAACTTATACGTTACGGTGATAAGGCGTATTTGCTTACAGAGACGAGTCACTCAGTGATTCTTCCGTATTTTTATTATCAAATGTCGTTGCACTGCCGTCGCGACGTTGATATGAGTCAGTAGACGCTGCGCGGCGTTGAGGAGTTGCGGTTGCGTCGGAACATTGTATGTTAAACTTCGTTTACTAATTGCCCTATTTTCTGTCATCAATGTAATACATATTATATAAATAATATGATAATGTATAAATATTTCTGAGGCTAATAGCCTCAGAAATATACATTTACTTCCCATAAAATCACTAATATGTAGTATATTCCCACTTTTATTGTTACGAAGAAAAATTTGCTTTTTATAGCATATTACAATGTTGTCGCTTTAGAAAATATTTAAACGCATTTTCTCTATGAAATGTTATAATTCCAACCTGTCGAATCAAGTATTTAAACGCTCTTTACGTGTCAAGTTGTAAGTAGAAGCTAAATTTATCTGTTTTCTATAAAAGAAATTACAATGTTAGTATTAATGTTAATATAATTATAAGCTACTTTAATCACATATAAGTAGAGAACCAAGTATGTCTCTTTTTAAGTGACGTTATTTATCGTGAAACTAAGAAAAATAAATCGTAAGCTAAGAATATCTATTAAAATCAAGATTCCAAGACTTAAAAGTCTTGGAATCTTGATCTTTTGTGATACAAAACAGCTGAGTACGACATGTTTGTGAACCACAACTATGAACCATTAAGCTTAGCCCGCAACGTATTTAGACATATTAGGTTCCATTACAAAACGTGGATTTTTGGCAATTTCGGTTATCTAGACGTATCTTTGCCACGAAAGAAGTCCTTTAGCCATGGCACCACCGTCTTCGCGAAATTCGTTTTTTGAATAGAATAAGGGTCTCAAACACATAGGCCACCTGGTGGTACGTGGATGCTTTGGCCCATAGACATCTACATCTATCCTTGATTATCAATCAAAATGCATATTCTTTCCCATCCCTGAGGACTAAGATGGAATGCCTCGTTTCCAGTAAAAAAGGGTCCATTGAGTTGCTATTTTACTTTTGTATTCTGTGAGAGCGTGGTTCTTCCCCGGTCAAGCAGCATGGCTCTACCACGTCAAATTCCTCACATCATCATTCATCATGTTCATCATATTTCAGTTTGCATAGTTTACACTGAACTTTTATCTTGAAACAGGCTCGAAATTAAAGGACAAGAAAGATTTTCGAGTAGCAATCTCGTACTGTCAAGCTAAGATAGAGTTACGACCAGATAAAACAGAAGCTAAATTTATATGGGCTTCCCGAGAAATTATACAACTAGGTCACCAGTTTCCTCGCAGATCAGATTTTGTCGTTTCTGCTCAGTTTCAAGACACTCTCCTTGCGCCACAGCCAGCGTCGGAATCCTCGGCGTCAAGAAACTGTCGAAATCACTCGGATAGATGCAGGTGGCTCAGGGCCATACTTAGTGGCAACTTTTCGAAGCAGAAGGTCTTTTATTCAGCAGTGTACTTGTGTTGGCGTATCCTTAGTAAATAAATGTACAAACTATTATATAAATTTTTCCAAAATCCTAAATGTCATTCGGGGTAAGTCATAAAAAGACAATTTACAATGTAAAAAAAAATAAAGATACCTGACTAATATCTCTCAGGTGTTTGAACATAACAGCAAATTAATTCAACAATTATTCAATAAAATTCAGATTGGATACATCCGATAAGCATAGATGGAAGATTTGTATGCAAACAGTAACATCGTCCTGATAACTTGAATAAATCTAATAAAATCAAAGACACCCAACTCCTACGCCTGGGGCCAATTTTGCATCCACTTTAATTGGTCCCTCAATTCATATTCATGAGACCGCGATTGTCGCTAATGACTCGTCGAGTACGTGTTAATTACAGGTACCACCACAGACGTTGTAACAGACGGACAAATATACACCATTTGATAGAATAATTATTATTATCGACTAACAATTTCAGCGTTTAAAATTAACTTGTATAGTACTCCAGATAAAAAATTGGATTTATATCTAAAAGCATCTCTTAAATATTTAAAAAAAAAAACTGTATATATTTATTTTTATATGGTTACAGATTTAATACTTTGCAGCTGTGGCTGCAGCACGAATAAGTCGGCGTTGATTTTTAATCGATATATAGATATATTATGCATATGGGCTACTTTAATAAAAAATATAAATACCTGAATCTCTCGCCTCGTCTATGTACGATCGCCATTTTATGATGATACTACGTGTCCTAGTTTCGGATTCTAGCTAAGCCAACGTTTCGTGCAAAAATACGTAGGTAAATATATATATATATATAGTATCTTAACTTACTTTTACCTTATGATAAAATTGCCGACATGAAACATGTTTGTGTGATTGTTTTTTAAAGATTTTGCATGCCCTGGTGTTGCAGTTTTCATAAGTGGCGATCGACTTTAACATCAGGTGAGATGCACGCCTATTTGCCCACTATTCTATAAAAAGAGATACGAACTTTGCTCGACCAAGAACGGATTACATCTGCACAGATTACAAGCGTAAAGTGAGCACAATGCGGCTGTGTTTCACGTGATAAGTGATGAGAACCACCCTTCATTATTAGAAAGGCTTGCACAATAGTCCTCTGGGTTGAGAACGTGTCCGTATTTTCTACATAGAATTTGGTTTAGACAACACCTACTTAAAATCAGTTGCAATATTTATTTGTATATTATACAAAAGTATAAGTTTTACAAATGCACACAAGTAAACATATTCGCATACTTAAATAAACATCATTAAGCTTTCGCCATAAAATTCTGTCATCAAAAACATAATGGACACTTTCGCCCATCAGACTCGCAACTCGTTTTGGAAGTGAACAGATTATTTGAATAGAAATGCTAAGATATAAATTTTGAAACCTAACCTTATAAGGTGCAGGAGACGCCATTAAATAAATAACTTATTAAATACATCGAAAAAGTCCAAACTACTTAATTATGAACCTGCTTTTGGCTGACTTCCAATAAAACCTATACAATCTATACAAATAAATAAAATTGAAGTGTCTGTTTGTAATGTCAAAATAACATCTTTTTACTAAATGCATATAAAAATGTATACAGTACTTATAATAAAATTACAATTTTAAAAAAATGTCTGTCTGTTTGTTTCGAGTAATCTCCAAAATGGCTGGACCGATTTTGAAGGGACTTTCACTGGCAGATATCTGATGTTATCAGGAGTAACTTAGGCTTATTTTATTTTAGAATAATAATTAGGGTTCCACGCAAGAAAATGTAAACCCATGAAATCCAATCGTAATAAATTCCAAGCGGGCGGAGTCGCGGGGAACAGCTAGTTTTAACATAAAATGAATGCAACAAAATGCTTTTTTGTAAAAAATGTTAGAAAGCTAAACCTTTCAAAATGTTTATGAAACAAATATATTCTCCTGTCTAAATTACATGTGCACTCTCATACAGACACATATATACTCACACATACATATACTCACACACAAACGCTTAAACAGAAACATAAAGTTTAGTTCAACACCCGCATATACAAATATAATTTTATTATTATTTTAATGGCTTCTATATGGTAATTTCCACTCAGTTGCAAAGATAAAAACTTTATGCATCAACAATATACCAAAAATATAGTTTTAAATAAAGTAAGATATCTGCGGGTTATAAGGCTAAAAACCTTGCTAACAGGCCTTATTTGACTATGGTAGAATAATAAGAGCTACCTGCTTTATCGAACTCAAATAATCAAACTATGCGTAATATATTCAATATTTGTAATCAATAACCACATGAATTTTGCAATTAACACTTAAAATTCAAAAAAAATTGTTTCACCTAACAATACTTAAAGTCGTTAGTATAATGATGAACAAACTGACTCCTCGTGATTATCAGTCAGTGCGTCGGTTGTGTCTCGAGTTGAGTGTAACGTTGAGTTGAGTGAGTAATGGGTTGATTGTTGTGTTGAGTGTCCTTCCAACCGAATTTCTGTTACAGCGGTCAGTCTCAACGGAGACTAGCCTATCTGCACAGTATAGAATTATAGTTTCCGAATGTATGCGCAAACTCAGGTGCACTCTCTATTCCCTCACAATCATCAAATCGCAATCCGATACGGTCCAAGAGAGCTTATGCGCAACCAATAATTTTCATTCATTATTTTCATTACAGTCCATCACAAGTCTACTGCTGAACATAGATCTCCCTCAAGGAATGCCACAAAGCACGGTCCCGAGCCACCTGCATCCATTGACTTCCTGCATGTCTTACCAGGTCATCACTACATCTAGTGGGGGGACTCCCTACACTTTGCATGCTGGTACGAGGCTGCCACTCGAGAACCTTTATTCCCCATCGGTTGTCGGTTCTTAGAGCTATATGGCTGGCCCACTGCCACTTCAACTTACTAATCCGTTGTGCAATGTCAGTTACTCTGGTTTTACTCTGGATATTCTCGTTTTAAGTCTATCACGCATAGAAGCATAGCCCTCTCCATAGCTCACTGAGCAACCTTGAGCTTCCTCATACGACCAGCAAAAACACAACGTAAACAAAACGTAAAGGACAACGCTTCAGATCCATATGTCATCACTGAAAAAACACACTGGTCTTGTTTTGAGGTAAGTCTGATGAGAAGATGTGCCGTAATCCCTCGAACGCTGCCCAGCCGAGTTGAATTCGTCTATTGACCTCTCGGTCGAAGTTGGACTTACCAAGTCGGTTTATTTGTCCTAGGTAAATATACTCGCCAACAACTTCGTGCTTAGTGCTCCCAACAACTACTGGCATAAGCGTGACGTGATACACATGACTTTGGTTTTGTCCATGTTCATCTTAAGACCTATCAGTTGGGAGACACTATTGAGGTCATTGAGCATAGTGCTTAGGTCCTCCAGCGATTCTGCCATAAGGACTATATCGTCGGTAAATCTAAGGTGTCTCCAGTCCAGGTGCCTTCAATGCAGTCCAGTAGCTTGAAAACGTCTTCCAATTTAGTGGTGAAGAGTTTCGGGGATATAACATCATCCTGTCTTACACCTCTCTGCAGTTGGATAGGTTTCGTACTCTGGTTCTGTATTCGGATAGCCATTGTAGCCCCACTGTACCAACACTTCAGGACTTCGATATACTGATAGTCAACTTGGCACCGCTGAAGGGACTTCAGCATCGCCCAAATTTCGACGGAATTAAAGGCTTTCTCACAGTCCACACACGCAAGGCAAAATGGCAGATCGGTCTTCTGTACAATTTGCAGAAGGGTATATATGTGTCCTATGGTGCAAAACGGATTGTTCGGGAGGCTGGAAGTGGTCGAGTCTGCAGGCGAGACGATTCGTAATGACTCTCGAAAACAGCACGTAGACGCGGCTCAGAAGGGAAATCGGTCCGTAGTTCTTCAAGAGAGAATTGTCGCCTCTGCGTGATAGACTTGAAGAACAAGAACACCGGATGGGAAAAAGAGCTTCAGAAGGACTTCGGAAGGACAAGTACCGGTTTTCCAAGGAAGCTCCCCTGTAATTCCATCCTCGCCCGAGGACTTGCCGTTTTTAAGATGCTGGAGAGCCATTCTAACCTCGCTCAGACTGATGTCCGGACCATTAATTTACACATAATTTAATAGCTTCTAATAACCTTAATAGCCTTAATTCTTTGAAACAATTTTTTTTTTTAAAACTTTGTCTTTGTACTGTTTGGACAGCTGAAACCAGGTCGTTTTCTGACTACGACATTAGTTTATAATAAACGCGTATGATTTATTTGCATTTATAACATTTTATAAGTCTGTATATGTGGTAGGTATATTTGTATATGGAATAGTTTTAACAGAAGCGGTTTTTTTTTTATAAAGAACATTTATTAAATCTAAGACACAGATGGGATACCACAAAATGTAGTGAAATTTTATTAATGGAGACCCTTTCACGGATGGCGAGGTATTGTAATTTAGCTAAATGTGACAACGCATTTGCATTTTGATTCTTAATCAAGGATAGATGTACAAAGGTGTCTACAGCGTCCAATAATACCAGAAATTTCATCTACCGTGTGCACGAGTATCACTCTTCCTTGTATAAAATATGCGACCAGAGATTCCTTTACTGCTAACCGTATGAGGAAGTCCTATCTATAGAGAGAGCTATGTTGGGAGTTTCTCTGCAGGATAGACATAGTAATGAGGATGTCTTCAGTAGAACTAGAGTAACCGATGTAGCTCAACGGATCAGTAAGCTGAAATGGCAATTGGCAGTCAGAGCTTTAATTTTTCTATATATAGGTACTTTTAACAAATAGTAAAAGCCGATTATTTTTATTAAAAGTTGAATTTTTTATATTAGTTTTTATCAGAATTTTGTAAAAAAAAGGAATTATTCCTAATCATAAATAACTAAATGTTTGAATTATGTAACAGATGATATAGGCAAAACAGAGATTCAATACAAAAAGTGACATTACAAGTCCACTGCTAAAACATAGGTTTCCCTCGTAAGGAGGACACTGGTCGTAGCTGCCACGCTTGGCACGCAGGTTGACAACCGCAGAAGTTTATTTTTATTTTATAGTTGTTATCAGGAACACGCTGCTGCCCACCTTCTGGTTTGTTTCCCTCTGTCACCCCTTACGATACCCGTGGGGCGATATGGAGTAGTAGATGTACTTATGCCGCCACGACGTGGTTACAAATAATGTAGTTATTTGATATTTAATTTGGAATAATAATATTTCTTTAATTAATTCATTTGATAAAAGTTCATTGTTATACATAGTCCTCTCCTATAGACTGACTCGTAGGTAAGAAAGACTAGCTGTTTCCCGCGACTTCGTCTCCGTATTTTTCTAAAATAAAAGTAGCCTAAGGCGCTGCGCAAACGTGGAGACTTTTTGTTACCGACACGGCACACCATCACAGGAAGCCGTAGTCGCTGTGTCCGGTAGCGGCGACACAGTCGCCGATTGATACGTCATGACACTGGTAACAATTCCTTGCTTGTTTTCAGTCAGTTTCCCCATGGATGTCGATGGAGGAACATTACCTTTGCTTGTTTTGGTGACGTAGACGTCATCGCCGTCAATATTTACAGGCAAATCAACCACGTCAATGTCAGCGCCGTATAATTGTAAGGAAATTTGCTTTCTGTTAATTGTGTCTTCAACTGACGACTTAAAGTTTTCAGTTACCTACACCAAACACTTTTTGATTGGCGGTCGGTATGTGTCAAGTGGACGCAACTGAACACAGAAAGTGTCAGCGCATGCGCAAGGAATGGCTGATTTTATATTGATTACATGAAAATAAAATATTCGTTCGTAGCTTGTATCCTACACTACACACAAAAGGGTCTAGGTTTGCGCAGCGCCTAAGTTACTTCATATAACGTCTGCTATCTGACCGTGAAAGTCCCATCAAAATCGGATTTCGGAGATTAGCCGGAACAAACAGACAAACAGAGAGATAGAAAAACAAAAATTTTAAATATTTTTTTTATTATAAGTACAGTATAAACTTTCATAAGCATTAAGTAAAAAGCTGTTACGTTCACATTATAAACAAACACTTCGATTTTATTTATTTTTATAGATATTTACCAAAGTTGCCACGATTGACGGGCGGGTCGGCAACCGCAGTTTTATATGTTACCTATTTTGAGTTGATCAGGAAGACGCCGTTGCATATCTCCTGTTTCATTTTTTTAACGACAACTACGACATGATATGGGACATGTTCTCATACGCCGCCGAATCAAAACATATTGTTGAGGAGGGAGTTTGAATAGCAACATCAAATAACTTGCAATTAGTAATTACTTTTTATTCCCCCTTTATAAAATCGAAATATTAGGAAAAACTTTTCAATTGTTATGTAATCTTACTTATTAAAAATAATGTAAGTTTTCGCATAACTTCCCTAATAAACTACATTATCAGGAATAAGTGACATCAAATAGTACTTGTACTTTAACCCTTATTAACATTTCAATATAAATATAATTATATTGCCACTGTCACTGTGAATATTTTTTCTTATATTTCGTGGTATAAAAACTTTAACTTTGAAACAAGTTTCAAAATTGCAATTTAATTAATACAAACTTAACTTTATTTAATTTTTTTAATTGATAGAGAATATATTGGTTTTTTTATATAGAATAAGCACACAGTCATATTAGGCTAGCTTTCGAAGACCATGTGAGCAAATTGCTCGAAGAGGGGAGGGTCAAGAGTACTCGGATACCTAGACGTGCATGTATGAAGAAGATAATGAATCTGAAAGAAGCGAAAGAGGTATGTAAGGATCGTGACACTTGGCGATCTGTTCTCTCTGGCTACCCCGTCAGGGATTGTGCGTGAAGATAAGTAAGTAATAAGCACACAATCCACCTGATGGTAAGTGAATGCTGGGGCCCATAGACATCTACATTTTATTCTCTATTAAGAATCAAAATGCAGATGCGTTGTCTCCCCTAAGGACTAAGGTGGAATGCCTCGTTTCCAGTAAAAAGGGTCTCCGTTTTTCTACAGTTACCATTCGAAACACAGCAACATTATGCTGCTATTTTATGCTAGTATTCTGTGAGAGCGTGGTCCTACCCCGGCCGAGCCGACCCATTCGTACTACAACCATAATATAGCTGCAGCGTGACTCTCCCACGTGCAACCATAATATAGCAGCAGCGTGGTTCCACCACGTGCGCGGATTGACGAACTTAAGCTTAAGGGATAAGTATAATTGGTTAATACGTACTGTATTCAATTCCATTCATCCCGTGGCTGTCTTAAGTGACAACTTTAAAATATGACAGAAATTGACTGGAGCTAGCCTCAGAGGTGCGAGACGTCTGGATATGAGAAACGTCAAAACGCCTGATAATGTCGATGGAAAACTCCTTTCTACAACGCTGGACTGATGAAGAAAGAAGAAGAAAGTTCAATCCATCACCGGACAAATCACCATTCTCGTCAGTACAGACTTCATATTGTAATAGCTATATTACACAAATTTGTAAAATGGGCAAAGCTTATATATTGCTTACACTAATTCCACGTCAAACAAGAAAGACATTGAAAGCACAGACATGAAGCCTTTATTACGCTAAGAAATTCAATTAGTGATCCTATTATCCTTTTAACTTAATACCGAATTTACGATCGATATTTTAATGTGTTGCATGTTTTTTTTTAATTAAAATTTGTATTTTAATTTTGTTGTTATTTTTCCTTATCAACTCCTACGATTAGAATTTACATTTTGAGTAATTATAGTTAGTGTTATAGCTTATCAAAAGTCCACTGCTGAACATAGCCATCCAACACTGTCTTCTCAATAGGGGAATATATATGCTTATATATATATATATATATATATATATATATATATATATATATATATATATACTAGCTGTTCCCCGCGACTTCGCCCGCGGTCAATTAAGGGTTTTAAGTTTTTGTGCGGAACCCTAATTCTTTTTCTAAAATAAAAGTAGCCTAAGTTACTCCTTATATCATCAACTATCTACTAGTGAAAGTTCCATTTAAATCGGTCCAGCCGTTTCCGATATTAGCTGGAACAAACAGACAGACAGACAGACAAAAATTTAAAAAATTGTGTTTTTGTTTTAAGTATCGTATATACTTTCATATGCATTTATTGAAAACCTATTATTTTGACACTACAAACAGACACTTCAGTTTTATTTATTTGTATAGATATCTATACATCTCTACATCATAGATTAGCTGTACCCGCGACTTCGCCCGCGTGTAATTTAGGTTTAATTTTTTTTTGTACGGAACCCTAATTCTCTTTCGAAAATATAAGTAGCCTAAGTTACTCCTTAAAACATCAGCTATCTGCCAGTGAAAGTCCCGTCGAAATCAGTCCAGCTGTTTCGGAGATTAGCCGGAACAAACAGACAGACAGACCGACAGACAGACAGACAAAAATTTTAAAAATTGTGTTTTTGTTAATTTTTTTTTGTTAATTAGTAAAAAGCTGTTATTTTAATATTACAAACAGACACTTCAATTTTATTTATTTGTATAGCTGTATAGATAATATATGGCATAGTTATCACGCTTGACAGGTGGGTTGGTACCCGCAGCTCTTTAATTTTTTAGTTGTTATTAGAAACAAGCTACTGCCCATCTCCTGGTTTGTTTCCCTGTATCGCCTCTAGCGATTCCCACGTGGCGACATGGGGTAGTAGATATTTTCACAACACCACAACGCGGTCAAGTATTTAATACACATTTAATAGTATTTATTTATGTGTATACACAAAGACAAAGACTATATAGAAATTATTAGAGTGAGTATCAGTACTGATGATAATCACCTCAAGGAGTGAGGTAAATTTGATTTATATTCTTACTTCATTTTACACACAATTACATTTTACAACAATACATAATTGTGAACTGTTTTTTAAAACAGTCCCTCTGGCTTTATTATTAGTTATTCTACGTGGTAGAGCCATGCTGCAGCTATATTATGGCTGTAGCACGAATGGGTCGACTCGACCGGGGAAGGACCACGCTCTCACAGAAAACGAGCGTAAAATAGCAGCTTAACGCTGCTGTGTTTCGTATGGTGAGTGTAGAGAACCGGAGACCCTTTTTACTGGCAAAGAGGCATTCCATCTTAGTCCTCACGGGTGACAACGCATCTGCATCTTGAGTCTTTATTGAGGATAGATGTAGATGTCTTTGGGTCACAGTAACCACTTACCGTCAGGTGGACTGTGTGCTCATTTGTCACCCGATCCTATAAAAAAAAAAGTTCTTTTCAGGATTGATGTATAAATTATAAACCAGTAGTAATTTAAACTTTAATTACTTTAGTTAAATTAATTTTACTTTGGTTGGTATTATCTATGATTTATAATAATAAAAAAAATCTATTTATATTTAATTATCAGGCTTCAATGATTTTAAATTCACGCTACAGAATTATCGCGATGATTCATGCACACATAAGCATTATCTAGGACATCACCATCACTCATTCTTCCGAAAAATAATACAACATTTTACGATTATAGAAACTGGTTTGCAGTATGTAGTACAAGCTGTCTGTTTCGATTCAAGTGAAAGAAGGCCGAGAATCGATATTCCAACAAGAAAAAAAAAAACAATAAAGAAAAAACGTAATGGCACGTCATGCACGAACAGCCGTTCCTCTCCTGACTAGAATCTCGACAGATGTCTTTGACACCGGTCCAATAGAATGATTCAATAACCTCTACGACAGTGGATCTGTCGGTTTGGTGATTCCGACAACTATAAGCTACTTAAGTTATTAATTTGTTGTAGGGAAGTCCACAGACACATCAGATTATATGATACCAAAATTTGAAGCAATATAGGCTTCGAATTCTACTATAGTAACAGACAGGCATATCAATGTAAATCGTGAAGGTCAGTGTACCTAATAAAAAGAAAATTCTAGTTATCAGTAATCTAGTTTAAGATTTAAAATATTAGGGAATGTTCTAACGAATTCAAAGTGGAAAATACCGTTTAAATAAAACTAATTTTACGGATTTTATCGCGTGTATTAACTTATTTTACATTCCCGACGTTTCATGGGTGCTGTAAAGTGCTTGTCACGGGAGGGACACAAAAACGTACAGGATCGCCTCCATCACTACATTAGATTTCATAGACCACAAATCCTCGCTAAAGAACACCGATTCCTTCCAAGGATGATTCGCGAGGCTATTGAAATCAAGAAACATCCTAATTTCAATAGAGAAGATGGCTGGGTGCTACCATCTGCTTGGGATCCCATAATTAATAAAATTAAATCCCAACCCAAGCATACAACTGCAAGACTTCATGATACTGTAAGTTCATACTGCGTAGATCGGAACAAAAATTAATAATTTTTAATCTGGAGGTAGCCGCGGTTAACTATGACATTGGGACATCATACACCTCAGTCCCCCCCCCCCCCCGTGACCATGGGTGCTGTAAAGTGCTTGAAACGTCGGGAATGTAAAATAAGTTAATATACGCGATAAAATCCGTAAAATTAGTTTTATTTAAATGTGTAGTGTTCGCGTAAATATAAGAAATCATTATGGAAAATACCGTTTTAAAAATATTTCCGAGTATAATTTTTTGGAAAAAATAAATTAACGATGTAATGGCGGTGTATGAATATTCACCGTCCCTATATCATCCTGTAGGTATTATAAGAGGCGACAGAGAGATACTAAACCAGAAGGTTCCAACCCACTTGTCAAGCGAGGTATCTTGGCAATAAGGCAATCTATAGGGAAGGCCTATGTTCAGCAGCGGACTTTTAATAGTTTGTATTGGTTCTAGTGTTCCACAATAATAACCACGGGGCCTTTTCTATTTGTACGGCTGTTTCTATTTTTCTAACAAATATAATAACTTAAGTTTAGTGTCGGTCTTACATTGACAAGGGTACGCTGTATCGGAATCAGGATCCTCGTATCGTGAACTCATATGACATAGTATCTCCTGCATTATTGACAGCATTCAATACTATTTGAAAGTACATTATCACAATGATCAGTCATTTACAGATTTTGTAGAAACATTTCTCAACGTGTTAGTTGAAGAAGTATTACTTATACTTGTATAAATTTCTATCTTGAAGCAAATTCATATTTACTCTTATCATATTATAATTCAATTTAATTAAATTACATCTGATAAATGATGCATATAAATCTTACTTAAGTATCAATCATCGGTCATTATATAAAAGGATGTAAAACCAGAAGTGATTCGAATTAATTGTACGAAACCTGAAATAACTCATAAATCCTTCAGAACTTATTATTTACTGTATTGCAAACGTTAATTATAAGTGCAAAATCAAAACATAATTGAATCAATAGAAACATTACAAAGCGTTTTATAGTGTTGTAACAAACATAATAAAAATAAACAGTGTTTCACGGTTATTTTGCATCGTATATTATATTATTATTGTTGTGGTTATGGCGCTAGGTGGCAGCACTTCCTGTACATTAAACGGTTATTATCCTGAATACTTGTTGACAGTAACAGGGTTATTCAAGCTATTCCATTACGCTAAAACTTTAAACTAACACTTGTAAGTGTAAATGCTCCACATTTCTTAATGTGCTAGTATGATTTCACGATTATTTATGTAATAAAAAATATTATTCTTAATTAAAATAATAATTTTAATTTTTGTGATATTAGTTCATATTATTTTGTTTTCAATTATGAACATATCAAAATTCCCACTTTGTTTCCACCCCTCGTCGCTAGAGTCTACTTTCAACGTTTAGTTTCCGTCCATACTTCATAATTTTTAAATCGGTTTCATTATTTACACTGTTGAATAAAACAGGACAGACATAAAAATACGAGAGCGTCAGAGAGAGGTGATCCATTGACCTTAAGGCCTACATTAGCCTTTATATATTTATTTATTATATTTACAGGCAGTGAGATATTACATCGTTGTCCTAAGAAATGACATGAGATTTTTGCTTTAAGTTCACTGCAGATTTTCATGCACTGCAGTCGCCACTTTCCATTATGTCGACTATAACTATGTTAATCACTTTAGTTTCATATAAAAAACCTAATGTGCAGTTTGGGTGCAGTTTATTACGTATGCTCATTTCAAAAAACATGAAATCCCGTAGCGTTGGTTCTGTATCTTAAAACTTTAACTTTGAAATTTCAGAATATCTCATGCAAGGCGCCGTGGCTTAGTTGGTTAAAGCGCCTGTCTAGTAAACAGGAGATCGCGAGTTCGAATCTCGCCGGGGCCTACAGTAAAATGTTTTTTATATTTTTATATAAAGAATGATATACGCTTACATTACAAACATGTCGCATTTTTGCAGAAATATAATTCGAATATACTATGTTTTGCATTTAATATCAAGAAATAGAAGTCATCCAGTCTGTAACTTTTAAATAGTTTATGTAAAATAAAGTTTATCTCTATATATAAAAATCAATTGCTCTCCGTTAGTCTCGCAAAACTCAATAATGGGTGGCCCGATTTTGATGCATTTTTTGTGTGTGTTTAAATGGATCCCTAGATGATCTAAATGATTCACAATAGGCCCGATAGGTGGCACTCTTGATCGCTAGTTTCTTATAGAATAAGAGTGACAGACGAGCTGACAGTCTAAATGATATTAAGTGGATGCTATGGCCCATAGACATTTACATCTGTTCTAGATACATAATGCGGATGCATTCTCAACTCTAAAAAACTTAAATGGAATGCCTTATTACCTTTAAAAAGGGCCTCCGGTTCTTTACACTCACTGTACGAAATTCAGCAGCGTCACGCGCTCTGAGAGCGTGGTCTTACCTCGATCGAGCCAACTTTTTCTTGCGGCAGCCACGATATAGGTGCAATCTTGTTCTATCATATAACAAGAAGAATTATAAGCCTAAATTATTTCACGTTTATGAATGCGTATTCAATACATAACTTTAAAAAAATCTACAATAACGTTTTACAATATCATTACCGCATATTATTACGTTTGTAGTTAACAGGCAACGAAGAATAAAGCTCTGAAAGTCTTGTAATCTCCAATATACGATATACAAACAATCTAGCTTAAGAATTAATATGCCAGAGTAATATTCTGTACGCACACAAGAAGGCCAACACGCATTGGGGCAGCGCGGCGGACATTTCCTTGCACTAAAACCCTTTCAGAAATTAGACTAAGCCTGTGCCCAGCAGTGGGACGTATATAGGCTGTAACTTTAACTATAATACAAGAAGTTCTGAAATACAGGCATATCCTAGTTCAGGCTACAGTCCACCGGAAGGAATATTACATTTGTTATTAAGTATTATCTTACCCATTTCAACTTTATGAACTTAACATCCCATTGAACCACAGCTGGATATTCATGAATGCCCCAGCAGGCATATACTTTTTGAAAAAGGTGAGGGCACCAAAATACGACTTTAAAGCTTAAAACTAATACAACCTTTTATTTTATTCCTATTTTTTGAAGAAATAAATTGATAAAAGCTGTAATATTTCCCACGTCTTTTGTATCGCGACATCGCCTTTTATAAATACCGGATGCCGTCATCTGGACAGGATATATTACATAGACTTAGGAGTCTGTGGACGCAGATGCGCGCGCACCTATCATATCCGTCATTTATGCGATGAAATATTTATATGAATGAATTAATTAATTAAATACAGTGTTAGAAACACACTCTATTCAAATGTCGAAAAATATAATTTCTCTATTCTAAATAAACACTTTTGGCAAGTACAAACAAATAATAGAGAAGAATATGAAAAATGTGTTATGTTTTTATCATAGGATAGGGTGACAAACGAGCACACAGTCCACCTGATGGTAAGTGGTTACTGTGACCCATAGACATCTACGTTTATCCTCAATAAAGAATCAAAATGCAAATGCGTCGTCACCCGTGAGGATTAAGATGGAATGCCTCTTTTCCAGTAATAAGGGTATCCGGTTCTCTACACTCACCATACGAAACACAGCAGTGTCAAGCTGTCATTTTACGCTTGTACATAAGCTGCACTAAAAGTATCGGGAATGGAATATTTCCACTGTTCCTGTCATATTAAAATCTTTTTAATTGAAAAGTCCTTGGTTTTAAAAATAGAATACCATTTATTTATTTAAAAAAAGATTCTCGGTCTTGTCACAAGGTTTCGTCATACTTGTTTAGTCGTTGAGAAAATGGAATTGACTCGAGAAAATTCAAGAGCGATGATTTATTATGACTTTCGAAGTGGTTTAACACAAACACAGTGTGTTGACCGGATGATTTCTGCATTTGGTGATGAATCCCCATCCAAAACCACAATTTATCGCTGGTTTGCTGAATTTCAACGTGGACGTGTCAAGCTCAGTTATGATCCCCGTCAAGGTCGTCCAAAAACTGCAGTCACCCAAGAAAACGTTGATGCTGTGCGTAAGCTGATTAAGGAAGATCGACATGTGACATACTGCAAAATTCAGGCAACTTTAGACATTGGCATGACTCAAATATAAATAATCTTGCATGAACAATTAGGTGTAAAAATGTTGTTTTCCCGATGGATACCGCATTCGCTCTGTGAAGAGCAAAAAGCGGCTCGCGTTACTTGGTGCGTCAGAACTCTCGAAAGATTCCACGCAGGATCCTAAAATGCTGTATACGTATCAGGTGACGAATCAAGGATATTTGCGTACGAACCCGAAACAAAAAACCAGTCACGAGTTTGGGTGTTCGAAAATGAGTTAAAGCCAACAAAAATTGTTCGTTCACGGAGTGTTGCAAAAAAAATGGTGGCCACGTTTGTCTCCAAAACCGGCCATGTTACGACTATTCCTCTTGAGGCACAAAGAACGGTTAATGCAGAATGGTATGCTAGCATTTGTTTGCCACAGGTCGTTTCTGAACTCCATAAAGATAACTGCAACCTCCGCATCATCCTCCATCACGACAATGCGAGTTGTTACACCGCACACAGAACAAAAGAGTTTTTAGAGCAAGAAAACATAGAATTATTAGACCATCCGCCATACAGCCCCGACCTAAGCCCAAATGATTTCTATACTTTCCCTAAAATAAAGAATAAATTGTGTGGACAGAGATTTTCATCACCTGAAGAAGCTGTGGACGCCTACAAAACGGCCATTTTGGAGACCCCAACTTCCGAATGGAATGGTTGCTTCAATTATTGGTTCCATCGTATGGAAAAATGTGTCAAATTTCGCGGAGAATACTTCGAAAAGCAATAAATTCATTTTTAAATAGAAATGTTGTGTCACTTCCTTGATTCCCGAAATTTTCAGTGCCTCGTATTCTGTGAGAGTGTGGTCCTTCCCCGGTTGAGCCTACCCATTCATACTACAACTACACTACTAATGTAGCTGCAGCATGGCTCTACCACGTATAAAAATGTATGACGTTTATATATTTATCAAGCACATTATGTATGGCTAAAGTCAGAATAGTCAAAGATTTATATCGCTTTTTTTATAATTTTTGACTTTTTAAATAAACCTGATTTCAAGCGGCTACTGTATGACTGTATCCAATGGACACCTGCGGCCAACTTCAAACAAAGAAGGCTATAACAGGTGCGTTGTCACCTCTGAGGACTGAGGTGGAATGGCTCACAGTCTGTATTTATACTGACTTTACCATCCATCACCCAATAAACGAGAACAAACCAGTACAGACACGGCAATTTGGCGGAAAAAATAGGTAAGAGAGTGGTACGTACTCACCCAGACGAAATCCTAATCAGGAAAGGGTCCTACTACAAAAACAAATATGCATATAATATTCTAAATAACCTAACTTGCTTAGGATACCAGCTCAGAGTCTTGAGAATAAAGTACTCTTCGAATCCACTATTCGACTAATACGTTAGTAGCGCCAACAATTTTTTTTATAGGATGGGGTGACAAACGAGTACACAGTCCACCTGATGGTAAGTGGTTGCTGCGGCCCATAGACATCCACATTTATCCTCAATAAAGAATGAAAATGCAGATGCGTCGTCACCCGTGAGGACTAAGATGGAATGCATTTTTTCTACATTCACCATACATAACACAGCAGTATCAAGCTGCCATTTTACGCTGGTATTCTGTGAGAGCATGGTCTTTCCCCGGTCGAGCCGACCCATTCGTGCTACAACTATAATAGTAATATAGCTGCAGCATGGCTCTACCACGTGAAAATATATCAGACACTCACATAGTCACATTATTATTTTATCTTTTTAAATATACATACTTTATCCCAGGGCTAAATTTACAGCTTATAATATGCGATGACCTTCTACCACAAGTATCTTTATACTTAAAAGAAGTCCTCAAACTTGTATTGATTTAAGAATATGTTGGAAATAATAAGCTTTTATTTAATGCGGGGTACAGGCCTCCTCTTTTTCTGAGAGGATTTTAGGACAAGAAAATGTCTGCCGCGCTAACTTCACATCTCTTCGAGATATTTTTTCTTATTTCTCTGACATGCATGTTTCATCACGATGTTTACCTTCACCACCGAGCACGTGGTAAATCAGCACTAAATTTGCAATTAACAATTTCATTGATGCGGGTGGGGATCGAACACGGGTTGCTCGCGCACTTTGAAATTTACAGTGAGCGCGTAGCCCCTGAGCTACCACGCCTTTCCCGGGACTACGGTCGGGTGAAAACAGAAACAGCTTTATGCACATCGACCCGCAGTAATTTTTATTCTTTGTAGTGTAAAGTAATTCATTAGAGTTACGAAGATCAAAATTCGTTTGATCAATCGATAAGTAATTAAGTAACAAACATCTTCACTTATTTATTTAAAAAAAAATAAGAGTGATAAGCGAGCACACAGACCGCAAGTTGATGTTTTAGCCCATAAACATCTAAATTTATCCTCGAATAAGAATCAAAATACTCACCATACGATATACAGTAGCATCAAGCTGCTATTTTACGCTGGTATTCTGTGTGAGCATGTCCCTTCGTCGAGCCGACCCATTCATGCTACAATACTAATATAGCTGCAGCATAACTCTACCACGTATAAATTTAAATTAAGCGTGTGGCGGTGACTTAAGATATTCTATCGCCGCATCTAGTCTTAAATTTATCATTAAAAAATAGATTGGTGTCAAAATAAAATGTAAAATTTTATTTTAATATTTCCCACTGATGTGAAAAGACCTTCTCTCATATCTGAGGGGGATATGGAACAAGTAGTCTATCACGCTGCTCCAGTGCCTGTTAACGGACTTCACATGCCTCGATATGTATATTTCTCAGTCATGCAGGTTTCCTCGAGATATTTTAATTTACCGTCGTTCACGTAGTAAATCACTAAAATCGCAATTAAAAATTTCATTGGGGACGGCTTAAATAGAATGCTGGTTTTGAGTCCGATCAGTGGCGTAGCTAGGCGTGGGCAAAGTGGGCCCTCGCCCACGGCCTCGCAATTCAAGGGGCCTCGCAAGAAGTCCTCTTAAGTGCGACTGCGAGGCCATTGTAACCTTCAAAGAACGTGAACGTTAGATTGACGAAAGTCTCGTAAACTTGTCAGGAATTAATAGGTATATCGTGTCAAAGCATGTTTGGTAGGATAGATCTATTGGGTAGCTCTTGGGAATGAAAGAAAAGGGGCCTCGCTGATGCGACTTTGCCCACGTCTAAATTCCGTGCTTAGAGTCCGATGTAGCTGTAAAAACCAAAAGGCATTCGCAAGTTGTTATGATTTCCGATAGATAGCGAAATAACTATATATTTTAAATACTTAACCGGCGATTGGAAATAGCTTCAGTGGTATAAAATGTCTGCTACTAACGGCAAACCGCCTTAGCCAAGCTAGCTGGCAGAAAATCTTTCCTATTGTGCGACAGACCCTTAGACTTGGACTTTTTACGTGCTAGAAAAGAAGGAGTAGGGAAAGAACCAATAGTTTAACATTCTATTGAAATTGTATGCAACACTTCTAGACGGAGAGGCAATCTGATGATGCAAGCCGTCGTGGCAGTGGCAGTCTTGGTGGTTAGGAAGAGAGGCTTATTCACGAAGGACTTTTTTTTATTTATTTTTGGTTTTTAGCTTTTTAGTCAGTGCCTCACTACACCTAGTGATAAATGGTTACATGGAAAACTGCATTGTCTTAGTACAAGAAAAACTTATCCGCTCTTCCCTTGAAAGCATCTTTATTGTAATAGGACGGAAAGAAATATGTCAGCAAATTACATACCTTAGCTGTTCGCATTACGAAAGATGAAGCAAACCGTTTAACGCGAATGCGTGGATTATCAACCACGAATAGGCGAAGACTATGGCCGATGAAGCTTTAGTCCGATGAAGCTGTAAGAGCCAAAAGGCTAACAGCACTAACATCATCGTAAACTAGAACCGACGGTCTGGTTTTCCGATGATGGAAAAGGGATGGAGAAGTTTATATATAATCATATATAATTTCTGCGCATACGTCGAAATGTATCATGTAGAACAGGACTTATAATGGCCTTTAATTACTGTGATAAACCAATATTTTCCGTATTTCATAATCACTGTTGTCGTTAGGCTTCAAACTGTGAGATAATCATAAAACCCGGAAGCTGCCGTAAGGTGTGAATATTTTACATATAAACTAAATATTCCAGACAAGAAGTTTCATCTGTTTACATGTTTATTTTATTTTAATTATGCATGAAACACGGTTTAGAGCCGTAGAAGCCGTACGATATTTTTCTACAGCTGTGCGGCGGCGACGCGTTATGTGAGCGGTGATTTTACCTATAAAAATTCATGATATGACAAGTCTGGTTCTAATGCTATGTCAAGCGCTTTTATGTAGTTTTTTTGCGTTTTGTAGCCGAGCCAGACTGTAATTGTAACAGTACGTATATTATGCCATATACGTCGCACGACGTATATTCTGCACGAATGATAATTAATGATTTTCACCACGCTTTCACAGAATACCAGCGTAAAACGTCAACATTATATTGTTAAGCGTCGTATCGTGACAATTTTTTTATCGATTATGCGTTTGCATTTTCAATATTAAAGATGTCTATAAGCCACGGTATATACTTACCAACTAGTGAACTGTGCTTTTTTATATATAATAAGGATGACAAACGAGCATACAGTCCACGTGATAGTAAGTGAATGGCCGATAGACATCTAAATTAATCAGAATCAAAATGCAAATGTCTCCGGCTCTCACTCACCATACGAAATACAGCAGCATAAAGCTGCTATTTTACTCTGTTCCAGTGATCGCGAGGGTGAAAACTGGCAGCGATCACAGAATGGTGAGAGGCACACTGAACCTAAACTACTTATTTATTCTGTGCCTATACGTTAAGTTGGAGAGGTCACGTCTAATGAAGCCAACACTCCGTTCTCCTCGTGCTCTAATACAAAGTCCCGAAACCTTTCAGCTCGAGCTACGAAACCGTTTTCAGTACCTAGAAGATTTATTTAAACAGTGGTAGAGCCACGCGGCAGCTTTTGCTGTCGCACGGATGGGCCGGCTC